TATTGAACATCCTGTATGATTTACGATTACTATATTTATAGCAAAGTAAGAACAGACCATCTAAAGTAAAAACCTAATATAGTTTTGATTTCAGAACAGTTCTTGTATTTTTAATAATTTTTTTAAGGAGGGCTGAAAAATATATATTTTTGATTTATTTTTTAATATCTCTGAAACTATCGAAATATGTTTACTCATATTTTAGGATTTTGTAAGTGATCTGAAAGGAACCCAAAAATACAATAATATACAGGGTGTTCCATTTAAAAAAAATTATCCAGATCCACTCACACTTTTTTGAGCCACCCTATAGAAATTAAAATATTTTCCATAAATACATCCTGGAACATACTTTAGGTTTGCACTTAAACAAAATTCTCAAGTTTTTTATTCTAGGAGCTACAGATGTCCGACGCACTATTGCCGGACCCCGTATAGTGAGTACAAATATAGATATTTTTCTTATGAGATTTTAAATTTATTTATATTATATGCATTACAGAGATGATTTGTTTTAGGAATAAATCTAATAACAGCCACTACCCATACCCAACAGAAGACCGAAGAAAAATGTTACCAGCAAACGTTTTCTTCTCTTATTTTTTCCACAATGGAATAGAATTTAGAATCAGTGGGAGGGGGGTTAATCTCTGCGACCTTAGAGATCTATTGTGTCCCCCTTTCTTGAGTTATAACTCATCGTACAGTCCCAGGACTTCCTACGGAGATCCGTGTCCTTCACAGTCGAGGAGCTACGACCCAGGCCGGGTAGACGAAACGGTAGCTTGTGTCGCCTGTTGGGTTTAGAGGTAGGAGGTAGGCTCCCGACCCTTGGAGGAGGTGGTAACTTGTATGCCACTTGCGGAGGATGGTCTCACGCAAGTGTCAGCCACCTCTCCTGTAGTTCTCTTTGGGTTTGGCTCCTTGGAACTTTCATTGTTACTGTTCCCAGTGTTGCTAGGGGGTTTCCCCACAGCTTCACCGGTGATGTTTTTATTACTATTATTACCAGATCTCATAGTGTTCCCATGAGTCGCTAGGAACAGTCGGTCCACTTCTACAGAGCCCCGCATGTAGAAGTAAGGGGTAAAATACAATGGGGTGCCCCCCGGTGCCCCAAGGTTGAGGCTGTCCGTAGCCCCGCCCGGTATCGTTATATGTCTTGGTGCAATTCCCTGGCCACGACACTACAGTCAGGGACAAGACGATGAGTGAGATGCTTCTTAGACCAAGCCAAGTGCTAGGGGGGGTTCCCCCCAGCACCTGACCAGGAGCTTCCCCACCAACGACAAGGTCTTGCATCTCCTAGGGGAAGACAATGGAATACATGTTTTTATGTTTTAATTATATTGACCAGAAGTTTCGACTAGCGTTGTTGACAGGTACTTCGCGAAATTTCTACACACATAGCGCTAAATCGAAACATTTTGGAAACAATGTTTCCATTTATTGTTGATTCATTTTCGAAACACGAATTTTTCTCTTTTTAGACAAAAATATGATATAATGTAGATGATTTGTGTCCGTCACCATGTCAATTTTATAAAATAATGAATTAAAATTCCGCCGTGTTCGCTAGTGACAGCGTTTTTAACTAAAAATATATGTTTTATCGGTTGTTGAGCTTTTAAACTCATAAGAACGCGTTCTACTTACATTGATTTATATTGTTATTTTCAGAACCATGATATAGAAATAGAAATAAGAATCGATATTTCAATCGAAAATATTTTGTAGCAATAAATAACGATAATATAGGGGGCATTAAAAATATGAAAGTACATTATTAAATTAAACGATGAATTTGCTTTTGCCAGACATTTTTTTGTGCGAGAATACCTAAAAACAAAGATTTTAAGACAAAAAAATTATGGCGGAGGTCGACATTGTTGATGGTTGTTTTCATTTGAAGTCCACACACACACACACACACATAGACTATTTTAGATTGGTATTTTGTTTCTTCACATTTAGAAACAGTGGCTGCTGAAAACGGAAAATCTTGGACACAAATTGTAGAGAATGTTTCGAAACAATTCCTCTAAAAATTTTGATTCCGCATCGAAACGTTTCAGGAAACAGCTAGTGCCACTACATTGGAAACACATGTAATAAAGCGATACAAAATATAGAGGTTTGAAAAATGTTTCCTATTTGTGGGATACTGTTTCCATTTTGTGTCAAGAAACAGACACGATTATTAGAAACATTACCTAAAATGTGTCCAAAAATGCTACTTCGGCAGATTCTTAGTCCCACCCTGATGAAGATGTAAACGAAACGTCGGATTTAACTTTGCAGGGTGGGACCGTGGGCATCGTCCCATATAACACACAATATCCGCAGGATATTCATAGAATGTCGGAATGTCCCATTATAAGATCATCTTATAAAGACATCTATAGGATATCCTCCAGACACCCTGAAATCCTATAGATGTCTCAGAATAGAATATTCTATGGATATCTCTGTCGTATATCTAATGTACATCCAGCTGAGATATCCAAACATGCTCATGATAATAACATATCTTAACAATATCATCTAGATATTTAGGAAAAATAAATAATGTACTACTTTTTATATTACATAAAATGCAATAAACCATACAGATAGATATATATTACGTCAAGGCAACACAATATCCTGTTGGTATCTTCTGGATAATCTGGATATTTATGAGCTTGGCCACTCCCAGTAATACAGAGAATTTAAAACGCCCGCGCAAAAAATTTCCCACAATCCATCTCTACAGTTGTTTGTTCTTGCATCGTGTATTATTCAGTTCTTTGATTTAGTGAAATTCGAGGTGAATTCGGTCGTTTGTCGATATTGGATGGGCTTACAAAATGACTGAAACTGACAAAACTGGTCGAGTTTGACTTAGTTTTTTCTTATACTCATAGTTCTAGCCCTGTTCTAGCAGAAATTCTATCCTAACCTCAACTAATGTCGAAAAACGACGAACGACTCAGGGTCTCACAATGAAAAATTTGTGACAAAATTATAGGTGAAAATTTGTTGAAAAGCGCTTGTTCTTTATCCCTAAACCCATTTTCGTGTTTGATCTATTAAAACAGAAATCCTATTTTTGTGTTTAAATTTTGAGTTTCTGGAATGTGTGGTGTTAGAAATTATACCTGTATCCATGCATGTATCCTGTGTGCTAACTTTGATGTAAACTGTTGCTGCTAGACATAAACTGCTAGACTCCATAAAGGGTAGTATAATCTATACCATACGATCGAAAAAAACGGCGTCAGAGGTGGCTTGGAAATGAAGATTGCTGTTATTTTGTTTGTAAAATTATATGGGGAAAATCGATCGTAATTTTCAAGCCAATCGAACGCCGTTTTTTTTCGATGGTACAGTATAAATTGAAAGCTCTTAACTCATACAAATAAACTTCTAAATTTTGACGCAAAATTCATTGACATAATATGAGGTATATTTTAGAGCTGTTAATAAAAATATCCAATGAATAACGTCAAAATGTGGCTAAATAAAACTAAATCACGAACGTTTTTACTATAAACTAAGGATGAAGTAAGTATTGTCAAATAACAGTCCTCATATAATGTCCTAAAAATATTCTATAATGCTCCCAACATATTCCTTGTATTATCCTAGAAATAACCTAAATAATCGTAAAAGGCTTGCCTAGGGATGTCTTGAAGACGACTTTTTTTGTCCGATCTGGATATCCCCCAAATATCCTCCTCTGGTTTTTGGATATCCCTAAGATATTTACTATATCCTTGGTGGATATCCTCAAGATATCTATAGGATTGTGTTGTGTTATATGGGGTCGCTCACCATAGCGATCGGACGACATCAACTTTTGACGTTTATTAAGTCAAAACTAACTGTTACAGTGACAAGTGTGGTACACGGTCAAGTTGGCCTTGGTCCAATCCTCGGTCCAATCTATCGACATAACGAAGTCCATTTAAATCGCACGATTTTTTCGCCATTGATGGGCAAATGGGTTTCATTCAGCACGAAACGTGGTCAAAATATCTTGAAAAAGAAGGAGCTCTTCGCCTTTTTAACTAAAACCTAAAAAAAAATCCAAAAATATTTTCCAAAAAATCCATATTTTCAATTTTTTTTCACAAAAAACCTCATAGACGTGTTTCTGAGGTCGAAATATAATACCCTTAAAAATATTTGCCCTTATTTAAGACTTGTTGACATGGTTTGGCTTTAAGAAAACTTTTGGTTCCTTCAAAACTTTTACATTGGAAAATAAAAATGTATTACACAGAATTTAAATCTCATCGTATTCGATTTTATGTGAAATATATTCCTCTATCAAACGGCATTTAAATGTCAAATTTATAAATATTACCCTAACGAAAACGCTCTCTCTGGCAAATATTTTAAAATATTTAGAGGAGAGGCGCGCCCCTGCCCCTCTGGGGGAAAACGAAGCGAAGGGACAGAAAGAGAATCGTTGATCGCCGCCGAATGCAAATTGCTCGGTGACGACCGCAAAATGAGCAAGATAGCGCGCGCGACGGCCTCCGTTTCAGAAGTCAGAAGAGCTTTTGGCTTGGCGCGCTTTCCACCACAGACCGTCGCTGGATGCGGAACTGGCAACGTCGCGCTGGCAACCACCGAGGCACACTTCGCGAATTCATCGAATGAGCCGGCCGGCCGCCAGTCACATGCGGTCGCGGTTTGCTATTCGCGCCAACTTTGCCGGTTTGAAATGATGCGACACAAAGTCGAACATCGTTTTTTATATCAATCGACAACAAAAGAACGTTCTGACACTTGGCATTTGTTTTGAACTGAATTTTGACGAACTGTCATTATTTTTATGCCGGCGTGATTAATAGCAAATAAACTGTTTACAAAAAATAAACTGTCGTATTTCCTTTTGTATTTCTTGTAATAAGTATATTTTTGTAAATTGTGTAATATAAACTCTTCCTGAGCTTCATGGATTATTGTGATTTCTAGTTTGCGAAGTTTGTTAAGTGTTTTGAATAGACATGGAGTTACTAACTATTCTTATTTGCGTTTTTGTGGACTTTTTTGTCAGTTGCAGTGCCATATTAAGTGGGGGTAAGTGACATAAATTTTATTAATTAAATCTTTTCTGATGCTCTATATTTCAAAAATACAATTACGATTGTTAACAGAGCCTTTTTTGCATTTTTTAACAGGTTTACTTCTAACCACGTGATTTTTCGCGGTATCATAGTTTTTTATTTTCAAATTCTTTGCTTAACCGCTTTTATTCTATTTGATTTTTGCTGGTGCGATAGTTTTCAAAACAATAACAACACATTTTCTAATTATTAATTACCTACTAGTTTAAACTTTAAAAAATATATTATTCCTTGCAATATAATACGACCCAACACCAAATTAGAGCTATATTTTATTCTCTAAGTTAATCAACGTTACGTAAAATTGGAATATCCTTTTTAGTACTTTGAAAATAGTTATTTACATTTTTTTAATAGTTTTACATTGATTTTTCTTGGATAAGTTTTTTTTTGAAAAATCTCACAAATAAGTTCTTCCTCAAAGCACGTGGATTTTGGCGGTTCAAATGCGGCGCGAAAGGCCAAGATCGCTTTTTATGTCAATCGACGACAAAAGAACATTCTGACACTTGGCATTTGTTTTGAACTGAATTTTTATGAACTGTCATTATTTTTATGCGAGCGTGATTAATAGGAAATAAACTGTTTACAAAAAATAAACTGTCGTAGTTGTTTTTGTATTTCTTATAATAAGTATATTTTTGTAAATTGTGTAATAGAAACTCTTGCTGAGCTTGATGGATTATTGTGATTTCTAGTTTGCGAAGTTTGTTAAGTGTTTTGAATAGACATGGAGTTACTAACTATTCTTATTTGCGTTTTTGTGGACTTTTTTGTCAGTTGCAGGTTGCAGTGCCATATTAAGTGGGAGTAAGTGACATAAATTTTATTAATTATATCTTTTCTGATGCTTTATATTTCAAAAAGGAAATTACGATTGTTAACTGAAGTTTTTTTTAAATTTTTTAACAGGTTTACTTCTAACCACCTGATTTTTCGCCGTATAATAGTTTTTTTATTTTCAAATTCTTTGCTTAACCGCTATTATTCTATTTGATTTTTGCTGGTGCGATAGTTTTCAAAACAATAACAACACATTTCCTAATTATTAATTACTAGTTTAAACTTTTAAAAAAATATATAATTCTTTGCAATATAATACGACTCAACACAAATTAGAGCTATATTTTATTTTCTAAGTTAATCAACGTTAAGTAAAATTGGAATATCTTTTTTAGTACTTTGAAAATAGTTATTTATAATTTTTTAATAGTTTTACATTGATTTTTCTTGGATAAGTTTTTTTTGAAAAATCTCACAAATAAGTTTTTCCTCAAAGCACGTGGATTTTGGCGGTTCAAATGCGGCGCGAAAGGCCAAGATCGCTTTTTATGTCCATCGACGACAAAAGAGCGTTCTGACACTTGGCATTTATTTTGAACTGAATTTTTATGAACTGTCATTATTTTTATGCGAGCGTGATTAATAGGAAATAAGCTGTTTATAAAAAATAAACTGTCGTATTTCTTTTTGCATTTCTTGTAATAAGTATATTTTTGTAAATTGTGTAATAGAAACTCGTCCTGAGCTTGATGGATTGTTGTGATTTCTAGTTTGCGAAGTATAAAAATTTGTTAAGTGTTTTGAATAGATATATGGAGTTACTATTCTTATTTGTGTTTTTGTGGACTCTTCTTGCCATTTGTGCATCAAATTTGCTCTTGCAGTATCTTTCGGTATCTTGTTGTATCTCTCAGCTCGTTCTTCTATTAAGAGGTGGATAGGGGGGGGTACTAGATAAGGCGGCTACTCACTACGTGTTACTTGCCAAGTAACTTGACTTGAATAAAACTTGGCAAGTAATTGTCCGAGTTCAAGTAAATTATATACATTACGTGCACCTCGCAAAGTTTCAATTTTTTCGGGAAGTAAAAGTCGTGTTCGCGAGTCGCGGTAGAAGATGGACGAAAGTGGTGATGTGACACCTTTAGCTGCTTTTATAACATTAAGTTGTGGTTATCTTTTACTCAAATATCGAAAAAAGAAACGCAAACAGAGAAGATGGTGGGTAACATCTTTGAATAACAGTAGAGATGGGTGTACAGACCACTCGTACCAGCACCACTTTTCACGCTGCTTTTTAATTGGCTCTTGCAATTACGAAATGTGGCCATGAGAGAGTCTTTTTTTCTTTTTCAACTCATCTAGGGTGACTTCTCAGCCGACTTCTGATGAAAAATTAATGTGCATGCGTTTCCAAGCATCGTATACTCCTTTTCTATTTTTGTGTAGTTTATGTGATGGATCCCAAATAATAGGTTCCTTCTGATAAATATCCAAAAACTGTAGAGTTATTTCATTGGTCCACTCCATATCTATCAATTAAAAATCAAATTTTTAATCACAAACATAACCTCATATGGACTCGAACACACTAAAGACCACGTAATGTAGAGCGCACAAAGAAGTTTCAAAATACTCGACTCGGCGCCTTTGACTTGCGACTGTTTTCCGACCGCCGACGGGAAGTGCAAGTAAATCACCGAATCTATGCAAGTCTTCATATACACTACTTGCTACTTACCAAGTACTTTGCAACTACTCGGCAAGTATCGCGTAGTGAGTAGCCGGCTTTACATTCAACGCGTCTGAAGAAACAATTTTAAGCCGGCTACTCACTACGCGATACTTGCCGAGTACTTGCAAAGTACTTGGTAAGTAGCAAGTAGTGTACAACTTAACAAGTATAGCTAGAGACGTGAGAAATATAAAATAAGAGACGCCCCTCGATGCGCAGTGGACAGCACACAAATTTCCTTTAATCAGATTTGCCGTAGCGTAACTGCATCTCTCTTCCGCCGAATGCGTTCTCTCTCTATCGTGTCGGAGAGAGAAAAACTCAAATTATTTTATTACTTAATCACTTAATCAGATGCTAGATTTAATGCGCTTGAGAAAATACTTGCTACTTGCTACTCTTCTTTTTTTATTCAGTACATTCTATTATACTGGGCATATTCATTGCACGAACACACGAAAATCGGTACCTAAAATCTAAAATACCGACCCGGTAGACAACTAAAAATTTGTTGTTATTTTTTATAGTGATTCAAATTAAAAGAAAATATGAGTTTTGCATTTTAAAAATTGGGAATTTTTATAAAATAACATTTATAATTTTGTTTTGAACACCTTCCAAGGTAATTTTTTTATCAGATTATTGTAAAAGTATAAGGAAAATAAGGAGGGCATCATAAAACTTATGAAAAAAGCTGAAAATTGCGTATCCAACTATTTAAAAGCTTGGATATTTAGCGGCATTATTGAAGTTGGAAGATTTTGTTACATAAGGTTGTGAAATCACTACATATTTCCAATCAGTAATTTTCTGTGAATAATTTAATTAAAGTTTAATTATAGAATTGTCAGTTCAAACGATGAATTAAACTCAAATTAATTACGTACTGAAATCCCGTTAAAGAATATTATTTCAACATCAATTGGTATTTTAATTACCATACCGTTGTTTTATTCTTTACCAAAACAATATATAATATATTTAGATAATACACTACTCAAAACAATAATTATCGCATATTTGAATAAAAGTAATTATTACATATTTCTAAATGAAGCATGCATTTTTCTGCCCTTCTCTTGTGAGTTTTTTTACGATAATTAGGGTACGCACTGACATGTAATTTTTTGTCAGCCGACTATTTAGTTGCAAAAATGAAAAAATACATTCTTATGGAGCCGATCGGCCCAATATTTGATTACATTGCGTAACCTTAGGCTATGCGCTGACAGGCAATTTTTAATCGGCCGACTATTTAGTTGCATATTTGTAACCAATATATTCTTATGGAGTCGCGCTCACATGCAATCAAATAGTCGGGCGATCGACTTCAGAAGTATGTATTGTTTTCACTTTTGCAACAAAATAGTCGGCCGTCTAAAAATTACCGGTTAGCGCGTAAGCTTATTGTATCGAATTTCCCTTCACAGTATCCATACTACACACACCGGAAAAATCTAGGGATATCATTTTATTAAAGTTAAAAATAAATGTTTTGAATAAACAACCACATATTTGTAGGCCGATTCTTTCTACTTCGATTGAAACGAAGTAGTCACACTATAGTTATTTCTAAATTTGGGATATTTGCAGAAGTGTTTGTGCATTTTTTGTCAAATATATAAAAAGCACCCAGCATCAATTGTTCGAATTTAACATGTACTGGCTATGTTTTTATGATAACTGGCCAGAGTTCATTCAAATAACTCTGTTTAGTATTAAACGACATTATGGAGCGTAGACATCTTAACAGAGACGAAATGCTAAGGGCCATGGGTATGCTCGAAGCTGGAATGCGCCAACTCGACGTAGCTAGAGCATTAAATACAACGCAAAGTGTAATATCACGATTAAGTGCACGCTATCGTGAAAGTGGTGATGTTGCTGAAAGGCAAACAGGGCGACATCGCATTACTACCCCTCAGCAAGATCATTTTTTACAATTAAATGCTCGACGCCGACCGACTCTTACAGCACCAGAGCTTAGTTTAATTCTCCAGGAAACACATAATGTAACCTGTTAGTCCTGACACTGTTCGCAATAGATTAAGAGAGGTCAAGTGTAATAAAGGACAAGTTTTAAGAAGTAGACGCCCCTGGAGAGCTCAACCCTTAACGAGAGAAAATCGAGAGGTACGATATTTGTGGGCTCAAGATCATGTTTAGTGGTCGAATGAACAATGAGCCAATGTTCTCTTCACGGATGAGTCACGCTTTGGAATTCATCCGGATTCGAGAAGGCTTAGAGTATGGAGAGAACAGGGAAATTTTATTCGGTTGGATCATGTTCAGGAAGTGCACCCTTATCAAGGTGAAACAGTTATGGTCTGGGGAGGAGTTCAGTTAGGCCGAAAAACCGATCTCGTTTTTCTTGAAAGGTTTCTAACAGGAATCACATATCGTGATTTAATTCTTGAGCCTGTCGTGTGTTTAGA